CCACTCTCTAGTCTCCACTCTCTAGTCTCCACTCTCTCGTCTCCATCCTCTAGACTCTACTTTCTAGTCTCCACTCTCTAGTCTCCACTGTCTAGTCTCCACTGTCTAGTCTCCACCCTCTAGTCTCCACTCTCTAGTCTCCACTCTCTAGTCTCCACTTTCTAGTCTGCACACTCTCTAGTCTCCACTCTCTAGTCTCCACTGTCTAGTCTCCACCCTCTAGTCTACACTCTCTAGTCTCCACTCTTTAGTCTCCACTCTCTAGTCTCCACTCTCTAGTCTCTACTCTCTAGTCTCCACTCTCTAGTCTCCACTCTCTAGTCTCTACTCTCTAGTCTCTACTCTCTAGTCTCCACTCTCGTCTCTACTCTCTAGTCTCTACTCTCTAGTCTCCATTCTCTAGTCTCCACTCTCTAGTCTCTACTCTTTAGTCTCCACTCTTTAGTCTCCACTCTCTAGTCTCCACTCTCTAGTCTCCACTCTCTAGTCTCCTCTCTCTAGTCTCCACTCTCTAGTCGCCACTCTCTAGTCTCCACTCTCTAGTCTCCACTCTCTAGTCTCCACTCTCTAATCTCCTCTCTCTAGTCTCCTCTCTCTAGTCTCCACTCTCTAGTCTCCACTCTCTAGTCTCCACTCTTTAGTCTCCACTCTTTAGTCTCCACTCTTTAGTCTCCACTCTTTAGTCTCCACTCTTTAGTCTCCACTCTCTAGTCTCCACTCTCTAGTCTCCACTCTAGTCTCCACTCTCTAGTCTCCACTCTTTAGTCTCCACTCTCTAGTCTCCACTCTATGACACTGATGTTGAAAATTATTGATTTTTTTCTGTCATTGCTTTATCGTTCATCCTCCTTTGACTCATAAATAATTTCAGACACGCAAATTTAAGTAGTCAGACTTCTGTCATAAAAAAAACTGAAGCTTTAAACCTTGAGTGTTACGTGCACATTTTTATAACAGCCAATGAAAGCCATAAGCGCTTCGTCCTCATCTTTAGCAGTCAGCGAAGAGTTTTAATTCCTATGTTGCAAAAGCAGTTTGATTATATATCCGTGTTGCCTTCACTCTGAGTGTAGAGTGTCAACCAGATCGCCTTGTCGTTCCTAGTTGTACAAGACCATAAAGATTTATCCGTGTCTCTGCATTGTTCATTTGCTCATAATGAGATTGGCCACATCTAGAGTGTCATGACATTGGCCACATCTAGAGTGTCATGAGATTGGCCACATCTAGAGTGTCATGACATTGGCTACATCTAGAGTGTCATGAGATTGGCCACATCTAGAGTGTCATGACATTGGCCACATCTAGAGTGTCATGAGATTGGCCACATCTAGAGTGTCATGAGATTGGCCACATCTAGAGTGTCATGACATTGGCCACATCTAGAGTGTCATGATATTGGTCACATCTAGAGTGTCATGATATTGGCCACATCTAGAGTGTCATGACATTGGCCACATCTAGAGTGTCATGACATTGGCCACATCTAGCGTGTCATGAGATTGGCCACATCTAGAGTGTCATGAGATTGGCCACATCTAGAGTGTCATGAGATTGGCCACATCTAGAGTGTGATGAGATTGGCCACATCTAGAGTGTCATGAGATTGGCCACATCTAGAGTGTCATGACATTGGCCACATCTAGAGTGTCATGAGATTGGCCACATCTAGAGTGTCATGAGATTGGCCACATCTAGAGTGTGATGAGATTGGCCACATCTAGAGTGTCATGAGATTGGCCACATCTAGAGTGTCATGACATTGGCCACATCTAGAGTGTCATGAGATTGGCCACATCTAGAGTGTCATGAGATTGGCCACATCTAGAGTGTCATGAGATTGGCCACATCCAGAGTGTCATGACATTGGCCACATCTAGAGTGTCATGAGATTGGCCACATCTAGAGTGTGATGAGATTGGCCATTTCTAGAGTGTCAAGAGATTGGCCACATCTAGAGTGTCATGAGATTGGCCACATCTAGAGTGTCATGACATTGGCCACATCTAGAGTGTCATGAGATTGGCCACATCTAGAGTGCCATGAGATTGGCCACATCTAGAGTGTCATGACATTGGCCACATCTAGAGTGTCATGACATTGGCCACATCTAGAGTGTCATGAGATTGGCCACATCTAGAGTGTCATGAGATTGGCCACATCTAGAGTGTCATGAGATTGGCCACATGTAGAGTGTCATGAGATTGGCCACATCTAGAGTGTCATGACATTGGCCACATCTAGAGTGTCATCAGAGTGGCCACATCTAGAGTGTCATGACATTGGCCACATCTAGAGTGTCATGACATTGGCCACATCTAGAGTGTCATGAGATTGGCCACATCTAGAGTGTCATGACATTGGCCACATCTAGAGTGTCATGAGATTGGCCACATCTAGAGTGTCATGACATTGGCCACATCTAGAGTGTCATGATATTGGCCACATCTAGAGTTTCATGCATAAAATTACCATGCACTAGTGCAGAACCAGCCAGTCTATCTGTCTTTACACTTCCAAATCTTCTTCACAATCTCAGAGAAAATATATCCAGAAATCTAACTACCTGTGACCTCTAAAGCCATGCTTGCCACTCTGCACAGTGCATGCTCCTCTTAGCCAGTCTATCTGTCTTTACACTTCCAAATCTTCTTCACAATCTCAGAGAAAATATATCCAGAAATCTAACTACCTGTGACCTCTAAAGCCATGCTTGCCACTCTGCACAGTGCATGCTCCTCTTAGCCAGTCTATCTGTCTTTACACTTCCAAATCTTCTTCACAATCTCAGAGAAAATATATCCAGAAATCTAACTACCTGTGACCTCTAAAGCCATGCTTGCCACTCTGCACAGTGCATGCTCCTCTTAGCCAGTCTATCTGTCTTTTACAGTTCCAAATCTTCTTCACAATCTCAGAGTAAATATATCCAGAAATCTAACTACCTGTGACCTCTAAAGCCATGCTTGCCACTCTGCACAGTGCATGCTCCTCTCCGCCAGTCTATCTGTCTTTACACTTCCAAATCTTCTTCACAATCTCAGAGAAAATATATCCAGAAATCTAACTACCTGTGACCTCTAAAGCCATGCTTGCCACTCTGCACAGTGCATGCTCCTCTCCGCCAGTCTATCTGTCTTTACAGTTCCAAATCTTCTTCACAATCTCAGAGTAAATATATCCAGAAATCTAACTACCTGTGACCTCTAAAGCCATGCTTGCCACTCTGCACAGTGCATGCTCCTCTCCGCCAGTCTATCTGTCTTTACACTTCCAAATCTTCTTCACAATCTCAGAGAAAATATATCCAGAAATCTAACTACCTGTGACCTCTAAAGCCATGCTTGCCACTCTGCACAGTGCATGCTCCTCTTAGCCAGTCTATCTGTCTTTACACTTCCAAATCTTCTTCACAATCTCAGAGAAAATATATCCAGAAATCTAACTACCTGTGACCTCTAAAGCCATGCTTGCCACTCTGCACAGTGCATGCTCCTCTTAGCCAGTCTATCTGTCTTTACAGTTCCAAATCTTCTTCACAATCTCAGAGTAAATATATCCAGAAATCTAACTACCTGTGACCTCTAAAGCCATGCTTGCCACTCTGCACAGTGCATGCTCCTCTCCGCCAGTCTATCTGTCTTTACAGTTCCAAATCTTCTTCACAATCTCAGAGAAAATATATCCAGAAATCTAACTACCTGTGACCTCTAAAGCCATGCTTGCCACTCTGCACAGAGCATGCTCCTCTCCGCCAGTCTATCTGTCTTTACACTTCCAAATCTTCTTCACAATCTCAGAGAAAATATATCCAGAAATCTAACTACCTGTGACCTCTAAAGCCATGCTTGCCACTCTGCACAGTGCATGCTCCTCTTAGCCAGTCTATCTGTCTTTACACTTCCAAATCTTCTTCACAATCTCAGAGAAAATATATCCAGAAATCTAACTACCTGTGACCTCTAAAGCCATGCTTGCCACTCTGCACAGTGCATGCTCCTCTTAGCCAGTCTATCTGTCTTTACACTTCCAAATCTTCTTCACAATCTCAGAGAAAATATATCCAGAAATCTAACTACCTGTGACCTCTAAAGCCATGCTTGCCACTCTGCACAGTGCATGCTCCTCTTAGCCAGTCTATCTGTCTTTACAGTTCCAAATCTTCTTCACAATCTCAGAGTAAATATATCCAGAAATCTAACTACCTGTGACCTCTAAAGCCATGCTTGCCACTCTGCACAGTGCATGCTCCCCTCAGCCAGTCTATCTGTCTTTACACTTCCAAATCTTCTTCACAATCTCAGAGAAAATATATCCAGAAATCTAACTACCTGTGACCTCTAAAGCCATGCTTGCCACTCTGCACAGTGCATGCTCCTCTTAGCCAGTCTATCTGTCTTTACAGTTCCAAATCTTCTTCACAATCTCAGAGTAAATATATCCAGAAATCTAACTACCTGTGACCTCTAAAGCCATGCTTGCCACTCTGCACAGAGCATGCTTCTCTCAGCCAGTCTCAACAAGCTGTGTGAGTCGGTGACAGTTGATACATGTGTGCTCACCTGGATAAAGTAACTCACTGGTTACAGACCCCAGTGTGTGCGAGAATTTCCTTTGTTAATTAAATATCCAGAAACCATGAGTTGTTAATCCTTTGGCTCGGTACAATGGATATGGCAACCCTTTGGCCTTAATTCCATGATAGGTACCGTAAATCTGGGAGAAATGTGGCTTTTCTGCCTACCCCCGGACGTGAACTTAGACCACAAGGAGTTCGTCGCCCGTTCGCCGCGCAGTCAGGTTTAACCAACTAAGCTGGCGAGCCAGGCGTACAGAATTTCCTTTAACGTACTTATATGCAGACATCTAAGATAGCGGGCGCCGAAGCAAGACACTCCTGCAGTGGAAGAATTCAAGAACTTTCCAGAAGCGGCGCTCAGAGGCAGCATTTAGAGCTTCAGGCGGTGACCTTCTAACGTAAGCGTGACTGAAAGGGCATCATGTTGACAGTTGTTCAAGTGAGAATAAACACATCCTGTAATTCCTGGTTTAAAATATAAGTGTTTGAAATGGTGTGTCGTCTCCATTCTCATAGAATCCTCCCCATCCCGTTGTATTCAAGACGTCCGCATCCCGTTGAAATGGAGGATAGTTATCGGCTGAAGACATCTGACGTGAAACCAGTTAATTGGTCGCCAGGAAAGTAGCGGGGAAGAGGCGGCTGTCGGAGGATGATGAGGATTTAAAGTGAAGAAAGTTAGAAGATAATTTCTTGTGAGAAAAATTACATTTTAATTTGCCATTTTTTTAAACGATTTATTAGTTGAGGGGAATCGCGTGCGCCTGGGAGCCGCTTATGTGATGTGAGGGTTACGTGGGGGCTGGGAGGTGTTTGTGTGTGATGTGAGGGTTGGAAGCTGTCTGTGTGATGTGAGGGTTACGTGGGGGCTGGGAGCCGTTTATGTGATGTGAGATTTACGTGTGGGCTGGGAGCTGTTTGTGTGATGTGAGGGTTACGTGGGGGCTGGGAGCTGTTTGTGTGATATAAAGTTTGTGTGAGGGCTGGGAGCTGTTTGTGTGATGTGACGGTTACGTGGGGGCTGGGAGCTGTTTGTGTGCTGTGAGGGTTACGTGGGGGCTGGGAGCTGTTTGTGTGATGTGAGGGTTGTGTGAGGGCTGGGAGCTGTTTGTGTGCTGTGAGGGTTACGTAGGGGCTGGGAGCTGTTTGTGTGATGTGAGGGTTGTGTGAGGGCTGGGAGCTGTTTGTGTGATATAAAGTTTGTGTGAGGGCTGGGAGCTGTTTGTGTGATATAAAGTTTGTGTGAGGGCTGGGAGCTGTTTGTATGATGTGACGGTTACGTGGGGGCTGGGAGCTGTTTGTGTGCTGTGAGGGTTACGTGGGGGCTGGGAGCTGTTTGTGTGATGTGAGGGTTGTGTGAGGGCTGGGAGCTGTTTGTGTGATATAAAGTTTGTGTGAGGGCTGGGAGCTGTTTGTGTGATGTGAGGGTTACGTGGGGGCTGGGAGCTGTTTGTGTGATGTGAGGGTTGTGTGAGGGCTGAGAGCTGTTTGTGTGATGTGAGGGTTAAGTGGGGGAGACGAGTGGAAAGCGAGTTAGAGAGTTTGTTAAAGAGCACAGAAGAGACCCGGGGGTTGGGGGTGGGGGAGGTAAAAGCTGCTGATAAGATACTGACGCTGTCGATTTTTGAATTCTTGAGCGCTGGAACATGGGAGCTGGGGCATGGGAGCTGGAACATGGGAGCTGGGGCATGCGAGCTGGAACATGGGAGCTGGGGCATGGGAGCTGGAACATGGGAGCTGGGGCGGGGGCCTGAGGCATGGGAGCTGGGGCATGGGAGCTGGGGCATAGGAGCTAGAACGTAAGAGCTGGGACATAGGAGCTGGAACATGGGAGCTGGGGCATGGGAACTGGGACATGGGAGCTGGAACATAGGACCTGGGGCATGGGTGCTGTAACATGGGAGCTGGGGCATAGGCGTTGGGACATGGAAGCTGCGGCATGGGCGCTGGGACATGGGCGCTGGGACATGGTAGCTGGGACATGGGCGCTGGAACATGGGCGCTGGAACATGGCAGCTAGAACATGCACGCTGGGACATGGCAGCTGGGGCATGGGCGCTGAAACATGGGAGCTGGGACATGGGCGCTGAAACATGGGAGCTGGGACATGGGAGCTGGGACATGAGCGCTGGGACATGGAAGCTGGGACATGGGAGCTGGGACATGGGCGCTGGGACATGGGAGCTGGGACGTGGGAGCTGGGACATGGGCGCTGAAACATGGGAGCTGGGGCATTGGCGCTAAAACATGGGCGCTGAAACATGGGCGCTGAAACATGGGAGCTGGGGCATGGGCGCTAAAACATGGGCGCTGGGACATGGGAGCTGGGGCATGGGCGCTGAAACATGGGCGCTGGGACATGGGAGCTGGGACATGGGTGCTGAAACATGGGAGCTGGGACATGTGAGCTGGGACATGGGCGCTGAAACTTGGGCGCTAAAACATGGGCGCTGAAACATGAGAGCTGAGACATGGGTGCTGGGACATGGGAGCTGGGACATGGGCGCTGGGACATGGGCGCTGGGACATGGGCGCTGGGACATGGGAGCTGGGACATGGGCGCTGAGACATAGGCGCTGAAACATGAGCGCTGAAACATGGGCGCTGAAACATGGGCGCTGAAACATAGGCGTTGGGACATGGAAGCTGCGGCATGGGCGCTGGGACATGGGAGCTGAGACATGGGCGCTGGATAATGACAGCTAGAACATGCGCGCTGGGACATGGCAGCTGGGGCATGGAAGCTGGGGCATGGGCGCTGGAACATGGGAGCTGGAACATGGGAGCTAGAACATGCGCGTTGGGACATGGAAGCTGGGGCATGGGCGCTGGGACATGGGAGCTGGGGCATGGGTGCTGGGACATGGAAGCTGGGACATGGAAGCTGGGGCATGGGCGCTGGGACATGGGAGCTGGGACATGGGCGCTGGAAAATGGCAGCTAGAACATGCGCGCTGGGACATGGCAGCTGGGGCATTGAAGCTGGGGCATGGAAGCTGGGGCATGGGCGCTGGAACATGGAAGCTGGAACATGGGAGCTAGAACATGCGCGTTGGGACATGGAAGCTGGGGCATGGGAGCTGGGACATGGGCGCTGGAAAATGGCAGCTAGAACATGCGCGCTGGGACATGGCAGCTGGGGCATGGAAGCTGGGGCATGGAAGCTGGGGCATGGAAGCTGGGGCATGGGCGCTGGAACCTGGGAGCTGGGACATGGGCGCTGGAACATGGCAGCTAGAACATGTGGGCTGGGACATGGAAGCTGGGGCATGGGCGCTGGGACAGGAAGCTGGGACATGGGCGCTGGGACAGGAAGCTGTTACAGTAAGCTGGGACATGGGCGCTGGGACATGGGCGCTGGGACAGGAAGCTGGGACATGGGCGCTGGGACAGGAAGCTGGGACATGGGCGCTGGGACAGGAAGCTGGGACATGGGCGCTGGAACATGGGAGCTAGAACATGCGCGCTGGGACATGGGTGCTGGGGCATGGAAGCTGGGGCATGGGCGCTGAAACATGGGAGCTGGGACATGGGTGCTGGAACATGGCAGCTAGAAAATGCGCGCTGGGACATGGAAGCTGGGGCATGGGCGCTGGGACATGGGAGCTGGGACATGGGCGCTGGAAAATGGCAGCTAGAACATGCGCGCTGGAAAATGGGATCTGTAACATAAGAGCAGGGACATGAGAGCTAGAAGGTAAGAGCTGGCAAACGGGAGCTGGAACATTGGAGCTGGAACATGAGCGCTGGAACATGGGAGCTGGAACATGGCAGCTGGAACATGAGCGCTGGAACATGGGCACTGAAACACGGGAGCTGGAACATTGAAGCTGGAACCTGGGAGCTGAAGCATAGGAGCTGA